TGCCTTTTTAATTTTTTATAATCATATTAATTATATTGAATTTTTTATTTTTTTTTATAACAAGCTTTTTTAAAATTGATGTTAAGTATAATTTTAATTCTAGTTTATATTCTAATTACATTTCAGATACAACTTATCATATTGTTTATCAATTAGCAAATCACAAAGCCAAAGAGCAATTGTAAACTGAATATGATTATTTTTATTCATATTGAGTATGATGAAACTCATAATTATATGATATATAATTGTATTATAACCATGATCAAGATAATTATATTGACCATGTTGCTCATTATCAAAGGCTAAAAATAAGAGTCTTTTAGATAAAAGTTTACTCTCAACTGCTAATAATTTTAGCCAATTAATGAATTTGGTATAACTTCCAGAACTGATTATATGGTTATCAATATTAATAATTGTTTTAAATCATGTGATCAAATATTTGATTCTAGTTATAGCTAGATTTATTTCTAATACCGTATTCCTCCAAAAATAAGCATCCTTTTTTTACTATAAGGGTGTTTATTTTCGGGTATATTTACAACTTATAAAAGTATATTAAAATTTAGGTAATAAAATTAACTTTTTCCCTGTTTTTGTTATACTAAAATTTGGCTAAATAAATCCTGCAACCTTTATGCGTAAATCATCACATGATTAAACAATAAGCATTAGATAATCGGTGAATGTCTTGTGATCGTTTCTTGATTATCTTCCCCATGACTATTAAATGATTGTCATCCATATTACTAATAATTCAACATGCATTAAACGTGTTTGAACCTGTATTAAAACTTGTTCAAATTACGCACTAACTATTGTAGGAAATGTTACGAACAAAAAGAGTTATTAAAAAAAAACAAGTTACCAAAGTAGTAAGACGAAACCGGACTTCATACTCCATTGAACAAAAAAAGGCAGTTATTAGCTATGCACGGCAACATGGAAGAAATAAAGCAGCAGAATACTTTCACCTTAATAGCAGTATGGTTGGTCGTTGGATGAAAAGAAGTGAAAATTGGACAGCTAAAACAAATGATAAGAGTAAGCGGCTTGGTTCTGGACGAAAAGCTTTTTTTCCTGAAGCTGAAAAAAAGCTGTATACTTGGGTTTCTGAACAAAGAAAGCAAGCGTTAGCTGTTAATTATACAGCTTTGAAATATAAAATGTCCGAAATATTATAACAGCCTGATATGATATTTCTTTATGGTGATTTAGCAATGAATTTTAAGGCATCTTACCATTGGTTAGTTGCATTTATGAAGCAAAATAAGTTGGCACTTCAACGTTGTACTAAAACCTCCCAAAAACTTCCTGAGCAAACCCAACCATTATTAGAAAAATTTTACCAACATATTAATGAACTTAAAATGGAGAAGTCTTTTAAATTGAGCAATATTTTTAATATATATGAGACACCTGTTTGGTATAATATGGCTGATAATATTACTGTTAATACAAAGGGCGAGAAGACCATCCAAATTTGTTCTACGAGTAATGATAAAAATAGATTTACGGTTGTTTTAACATGTGCTGCAGGTATAAGTTTTTTTTTCTTTTTTTTTTTTTTTTTTGAAAAAAAAATTAACAAATGATATTTACCATATTAATTTATTATTTTAGATGGAACAAAACTTCCTCCCATCTGTATTTTTAAAGGAAAAAAAATAAACCGTAATGAACAAATCTCTCCTGGCATTATCATTTGGCACCAAGAAAATGGTTGGATGGATACGAATCTAATGATAAGATATGTGAAATATCTTGATGATGCAAAAAAAAAAAAAGGATCTAAAAAAGACCCTGCAATGCTAGTATTTGATTCTTTCAGAGGTCACTTGGAAGACTCCGTTAAAAGTAAATTTAGTAAGTATAGTTTTGACTTAGCAGTAATTACAAGTGGTTGTACAAGTATTTGTCAGCCATTAGATGTTGTGATAAACAAACCATTCAAGGACAACATGCGTAAAGAATGACATATTTGGATGTCGAAAGGTGGAGCCGGAAGAACAGCAAAGGGAAATCTTCGTTGTGCTAGAATCAGTGATGTTTGTGCATGGGTCAAGAATTCTTGGGAGAATATCTCTGATAAAATCATCAGTAAGTCTTTTGTGACTTGTGGAATTTTGGATGATGATGATTCAAGTAAGCTGAATAATTCAAGTGAGTTGGATAATTCAAATATATCAGATAATTCAAATGAGTTGGAAGATGAGTTAGAAATTATCAACCTTTGTGATGACAATAACGAAGAAGGCCAAAGATAATGATAACATGCATATAATTTTGATAGTAGTAATAATGTCTTTGATTAGTGCGAAGTATGGTAAAGCAATGATAGCTATTGTTAGAGGCATTAATGCCATTTAACATAATTCATGTTCGTCTTTTGCTTAATCTTTGGTTAGTTAACTTTTGCGAAATAAATTACTATAGAATGGAAAAATTATAGATATACAAACCAATACAACAATTTTTTAAAAAAAATTCATCTCTAATCACTTTGATAACAATAATTAATTCATAATAACCTATCAAAGCTAACAATCGTATTAACCTGTCAAAACAATAAGAAAGTTAGAAAACAATCGATTTTGCAACATATACAAGTTATACAGACGATTATCTATAATTGTCCAATATACTTATCTTAATATATCGAAAGCAAAGACTTATAGACTAGTCAAATTTCCAATAAAGTTTCTTTTTAAATGCGCAATAAACTTTATGCGATAGCAAATTAATTAAGCTAATGCATATATTCAAAAAAATTTTTTTGATTAAAGTTTTTTTTTATTTAATTATTAAACTTTACAAATTAAAAATAAATCATATTATAGAATATGCGTGATATATGCGTTATGTGTTTGTATATGATGGATATAAGTATATTTAATAAATTATTTGGATATTAATAATTTAAAGAGAGGGTGCTTATTTTCAGGTATATCTAAAATATACAGGGTGCTTATTTTTGGGGGGTGCTTATTTTTGGAGAAATACGATATATAGTTTTTATATCTCAATCTATATATAGCATCAACACAGCTGCTTTTTAAAAATCTTTTCATTCAAAGTATAACTATTATAATTATTACTATCATTATGTGTAAGGGTATTAATAAAATTTACAAGAACTAGGTTATAATTAGCTAACCAATTATTAGGTGCAAAGTTTAATAAATTATTAAGTAAAAACCATTGCCTATTTAAAATCAATAACTTAATATCTTTGCAAATGCTTTGGCATTCCAGGTTGGCAATTTGAATTATGAAGTCAATTCATTTTTTTTGGGTATTATATTATTTTCCTATTTATATTTAAATGTATTATTTTGTTCAGTTAAATCTTAATTTATTGTCCAAAGTGTAGTGGAGGATATTTAGTGTTTATGCATAATGATATCAAAATTACATTATTAATGTATCAATAGTTATATTTTTGATTCACTTCTAAGCTATTTATTAAAATTGTAATTTTGAAAATTCTTGCCTGTCCGTATGCATGTTGTGTGTGTAATTCCAATATTGTTTGTTTGTTTTTAAAAACTTATCATTATCTTTTTATATCTTAATTAATAATATATGTAATGGTAATAAAAAATTATAGAATCATGGCTTGTAAAATTTATGCAAATAATTAGCAAATTAGTAATTACTATTATTATTATAATATTTTGATACAAAACAAGAACTTTTATTTTATTGTTTGATTTGCTAACTCCTATTAACTAATTTTTAAGTATGAAAAAAAGTAGTTATCTTTCTTCAACTTTTCTTTCTTGCAAACATTTACAGACTTTAATGTGGCTTAATCTGTCAAAATTGAATGATCTGAAAAGAAGATCACCAAGAAAACGGACATGCAACACTGCTATAAAAGAAAGTTTTATACTAAACTCTTTCTCTTCAAGAGATATATATGCCTTAGGTAAGGTAAGCCCCTAGCTTTTGTGAACTGTAATAGACCAGGCAAAATGAAGAGGAATCTGTATATGTGAATATACATTACCTGTTTTACCCTCCCAGATACATTTAATCAGCATAATTGAAACAACTTTTATACCCTCTATATTGGTAATTATAAGTTTTTAGTAATAATCGAAGAATACAAAAACCACTATAGATAAGGAAGGGGGTCCATAATCTTCATACAAAATATCTTGAACAGTTTCTAATACACCATTTACAAGTTCAGATTCTGTTCAAATGTTTGCTATAAGCATGATGTGTGCTCCTCTTGCCAACAATAGCTATGCTTTAAGACCATGTGTAGTATCTAAATCAGCTCTTTTAGCATCTCTATTACCACTATGTGTTGTGATAATTTTAGCAACTAGAATATTTAAAGCTTGAAGCTTATCAATATTTACAATGTCTACATCAGATTATTTTGGCAGAATATAAGTAGTTTCTAAAAACTATTCATACTCTGCTCTTGATACCTTTTTTTCAAATCATGTAGTAAACAACTTCCAGTTATTTATTGTAGATTCACCATCACAAAGTCGTAAGAGGATGTCTTTGAATCTTCTTTGTTTCTCTGAATCTTTAGATTGTCGCTGAACTATGTCAAGTTTGTATACCTCATTAAATTGTTTGTATACTGTATGCCTATTATTTGATAATGGATCTTGTTTTTTAATACTGATATATATTGGGAGATCGAGTACTGGTGGAAGTTGGCCAAAATCACCAATTATAATAACAGATCTTCTACCAAAAAGTTTATTTCTATGTTTGAAAAAGCTTGGTGTAGATGCATATTAATTAAAGCAAGCATGTGTCATTCTACCATGCTTTTCTCATCTATAATTACATAGATTATGCCTTCTAATCTCTTTTGTAGCTGCTTTAATCATTAACTATTTATATTCAGGTTATTTTTGCTATCATTTATTGTAATCAAAAGGACCAAGTAAATTGTCATACTATTAATATTGTATGCTGCAGTATCTGTTGAAGCAAGCACAAGTACTGGTGATCTAGAGCCAATTTCTACCATTTGATGGAGTGTGTATCAAATCATATTAACAAGATATAATTTACTCGTCCCTGCTATTTCTAATATTATAATTTTTAGTAGTTCAACATGACAGCCTGTGAGCACATTATAATAATGTGATTTAATTCTTTTAAACATTTCTATTTAATTGTTATTTAGAGTCTAAAGATTTATAAAACCTATATATATATTTATCTTTTTGTTTGTTTGATAATTTTTACTAGAAACTTGGCATATAAAATTGTCAGCATTTACAAGATTAGTATCAGAGTAGCATTGTTTAGCATCATTAACCCATCTATAAGTAAGATCTATATTATGAGTTTCTAGATCGCAGGAATTATTTATTACTGTATTTGAATCTATTTCTGCCAATAACATCCAATCTAATCTCAATTCTTCTTGTTCATCATCATCGGGTTGTTTACTTTGATTATTATCATCATTGTTAGTAGCTTGACTTCATCTATATAGGTTTCAAGTAAGTCAATTGGGTCATTATTGATCTCTTTGTAATAACAGTTATATAAAGTTGACCATTTAACAGTATCATTGTTAGTCAGTTGTTCTATATTTCTATGTGAAATATGTAGAACAACTTTTATGTGGCAAAACTCTTTCTATTGAGAACCATTTTGTAAGGGTGAAGGCTATGAAAAGATATGAACTATATTTTCATGCTTGTATTTATTCTATTTATTCCAGGTAAATTTATAAGTTAAATTAAGCCAAAATAACGAGAAATCTTCAAATTCTGTAGAGTGTTCATAATATAATTTTAGAGTGACTGGACTATATAAATCAGTTTCATATAATTTAACATATAATCAAAATTTTGATAATTGAAGAGTTGCAATGTAAATTATATGATTCATTAATACCGGGCAAGCTGGTATTTTATATGTAGCATAATGAAATTACATAAAATTTAATTTACTGAAACTTAAAATTATATATATTGTAAGTTTGTAACTTTCATATTACAACACTACTTATATAATTCATACTATCATGCTCTCCATTCTCACTACTGCCAGTACCACAAATCCATCATGATGCTTCTTTGTTAAGGTTCAAAGAGACAAATACATAACTAAAATGGTATCTAGAAGAAGATAACAGGTTTTCTAAGCAGAGATATCATGTTCTGTAACACTATGTAATAGCAATTTTTGAAAAAAGAAAAGTGATGGATTATCCGGATTGCTTTTTTGAAGGATTTGGTTTAGTATTTTAGAAAAAGTTGCTAATTGCGGTTTTGCTTTGCTTGTATACTTTGAAATATATTGTAAAATGATATAGATGCTAAGAATTGGTTTGATGTCTATATTTGCTCTCTAGCCTTGTAGTTAAAGTCAATTATGTGAATTAATTAATGGGTTATTTCTTGCTATAATAACCTCTGGTCTACCATGTCCATCATCACACAGTATAGTATGATCGGTAGTATCCTTGAGATATCCAAATCTACAAGACTATTGGCCTAACTGATTAATATAAAGACAGTATGAGGAACTATAGCACATGTGATATTGTAGTTTGTTAACCAATTCTGTGTAATCTTAAAGATCATCATTTAGTTCTTTACTACCTTTTTGGCATGGGTAGTATTCTGGAACTGGTGTATTAAGTTCAGGATTAATTGTGGAGACTAAAGTATCAATATATTGTGCTACTTCATCTATCGCTTTTTCATTATCTTTCATCTATGTCCAATTGATTATAGGTGTGTTTTGTTGTTTTTTGATTCCATACACATGAACACTACCATGGTGCTGCTATTCAAATCAATACCACCAATCTTTAAGATCTCATTGCCACTTTAATATATCATTAAAAAAGGTCTCAAAGCATTTGCAAAAGAATCAGGCTACAATATGTGGATTATCAATTATATTTTGCTGTCGTGTAGATCAGTTACTTGGGCAGAATTTTCACTAGATATAATAAGTTTATGGAGCTCTGGCTAATGAAAGTCAGCAGCACTAAATGTAAAGAACACAAGCTCTCTTGAACCTATTTGTTTAATCATATCTGTCAATTCACAACATCGTCCCATCCAAAATTGCCAAAATCCACACGAACCTTCACCATATCACATAATGTAATTAGCAACATATTTATTACCTTGAGCAATCATATCTTGAATATCTCTAACTATAAGTTGCTTATCATAAATTTTTGTTTAACATACACTTTTCCCTCTTGTAGTGCCTGCCATCACATTATAGAATTCAATGCAAAATATTTTCAACACTTATG